TCTCTGTTAGGATTTCTGCATAGTGTCAGCACTTATAATCCCTAAGTAATTTAAAAAGCATTACTCCTTAAAATCTCTATTCTTTTTAAACAAAAACTAAAAAAATATATTTTATGTAATTTTTTCTTAAGAAATGAACTCTTCTTTGATCACTTTCTTTGGAACCAGCATGTACAATTCCTACTGAGCTTATTTCTAATCAACACAAATTCAGAGCATTCAGTGAAGGAAACATTGAAATCAGGAGAACAGAACACTAGCTGGATATATTCTAGAACCAGAAAGCATGAGATCAAGTCCCCAAGTCTACTACCTTTCCCTAGACCAGTGGTTCTCAACCTTCCTAATGCCGCGACCCTTTAATACAGTTCCTCATGTTGTGGTGACCCCCAATTTCATTGTTACAAATTGAACATAATTAAAGCATAGTGATTAATCACAAAACAATATGTAATTATATATGTGTTTTCCGATGGTCTTAGGCGATCCCTGTGAAAGGGTCGTTCGACCCCCAAAGGGGTCGCGACCCACAGGTTGAGAACCGCTTCCCTAGACCCTTCCATCTTCCATTCTCCTCGATGAACATCCCAAACACACTCTTGCCTCGGGGCCTTTGCATTTCCTGTTTCCCCGGAGCACTCTTTTCACAGATGTGTACATAAATCACTCCCTTAGTTTCTTTTAACTCTGCTCCAATGCCACCTTATCCAAGAGAATTTCTCTGACTATACTATTTAAAACTTCCCTCCACCTCACTATCAGTCTCCTTAACCTGCTTTGTTTTTCTTCTTTCTCACTCCATTACAATGAGCTCCATGAAAGCAGGGACCTAATTTTTTTTGTTTATTGCCTCATATCCAGAGCCTAGATCATATGTGACACATAGTAAGCATTTTATATACATTTGCTGAACAAAACAAAGGCCAGTTCTTGGTGCTTGTTTTAAGAGGGCTAATGATGAGTTATGATGTGCCCTTAGGAAATCCATTAAGGTCTAGATACCTTTCAGTTAGGGGTTAGATTTGCTCAGTGTGGATCCAGAAGAAAAGAGCAAGACAGATTTTGGCCGAATGTAAGGAAGAACCTGATAAGAATTGTAGCTGTCTGAAAAGTACTTGATATTTCTGTAGATGCTTATTCAGATTGTGTGACCACTTTGGGGATAATTATAGAGGACATTTAAGCAGCGTGTACAAATTAGATTATATTACTTCTAAAATAAATTCTTAAAAATGTATGATTTGGCATTGACTCAAAAATTAATAATCAAGTTTGGTTCTTCTGCAAAATGTTGCCAGACAGATTGTATCTATTCTGTTAGCACCTAAAGCAGGGGTTGGCAAAATGTATTTCCTTGGCCAAATTTGGTCCCTCACCTCTTTTTGTAAATAAACTTTATTGGAACACAGCCATGGCCATTTACATATATGTTTATGGCTTCTTTCACATTATAATGGCACAGTTGAATAGTGACAACCAATACTGTATGGAACACAAAAATCAAAATATTTACTATGTTGCTCTTTGCAGAGAAAGTTTGCCAACCTCTATACCCTTAACCAATAAACTATGGAAATATACCTGTATTCAACCTACCAATTTCCTCCTCTTCCTTCTTCATCATTATTGATTGTTGTATGTGTCTGTAAAGATCCAACCATAATAATATAGGTCATTCTGAATATTCAAATAGAGGGAATTTAGTGCACATACTTGGTTACTTGGCAATTGAAGAGGCTTGCAAGCCCATAGATCAGGGTCAGCAGGAAGATGCCACCACTCCTACCAGAAAGATCCAGGAAGGAGGTAGTTTTATCAGAGTCCAGAAGCTGGAAGCATAGCATGGGCTGGAGGTGTGGGGCTTTTGTTTCCTGAAGTTAGAGCCGCAGAAGGATTCTGCGCCTGCCTAAGATGCTTTCTGAGGTAGAGAGGAAATGAGAGAAATGCCCTGGCTTCTCCCACGCGTGCCTTTCATTGCCTGCACCTAACCAGAAGTCAGCTGGCACAGAAGCCTGGGATATGGAGCTTGCAGAGTTTGTTCCCCTGATATATAGAGCAGAGCAGGAACGATGAGGGATAGTCTATGGATGCCTGACCCAAAACCAGCACTGCTGCCAATAGTTATTCAGAGCTACCATGTGCCAAGTACAGAGCTAGACATTTTACATGAATCTTCAACTAGGAGATAAATACTAGTTTATAGATGAGGGTTGGAAAATGAATTACATTGCTCAAGGCCATGAATTAAACAAATGACAAAGTTAGAATTGAATCCAGGCTAGTCTTACTCCAAAATTCTTATTTTATAAGAATTGGCCCTCTTATTCTATAAATGAGAAAAAAAAAGTAGCTTGGAGAAGATAAGAAACTTACAGCTGGAAATGACAAGACTAGGTCCATAGTCCAAGTTACTCCTGTTAGGTCTTTGTGTATCTTAACAGCTAAAGCCTCACACTGTTACTGTAGCATTTAGACAGTGTCCAGAGGAGGTGCCACTCAGATGAGGGAGGTGTCCTTGCATCCTGAAGCTATTGCTAAGCAAACCTTTCTGTACTCAGTACTCTGTTGTAAAATGGGATTATTAAGGACAACCACCTCATAAGAGTGTAGACAGAGATTCAATAGATAATAGATCTTGAGACCTCTGAACAGTGTGGCCCAGAGTAGGTACTCACTAAATGCTAAGTCGCTGTTGTCATTGTTAATATTTTTATCATGCTGACATTTGGAGTGATTATTCCAGGAAAAGAGTGGATCAAAACTTTTACAACATATTATCCAAGTGCTTCATGAAACAGCAATATCCTCCTATTGGACCCTTTCTCTTCTAGCTAGGAGTGACATTACAAGATAATTAGGAATAGGATTTTTGTTCTTAAGTGAATGGCCTTCACGATACCTTAGTTTGTTAATTTGAGGCTTTTTTATGTACCAGTGCTTTTCTATGAAATGTTATCTGCTCTCGTGCTTCCATACAGTTTGTTTCATCTAGGATGGCCTTTTTCCAACTAATTCCCAACATATGACCTTTCCCTTCCTGTCCCCATGGCTTTACTTGGCTTTATTCTTAATAATCCCCCCCACCCCTACCCCGAAAGTCCTTTTGCTTAACCAGCTCAATTCCTACAATATCTTATAATGTTACAAAGATTAAGTTTTCATGATACTTTTATTATAATTATAATACACTCAAGGTTTGCTTCCAGGGGAAAAGTTTCCTTATGATTAGTCACATGACACATTGATCGTTTGCCTTCATACAGCACCTGCATCATGCCGCCCTATCAGTACTGCCTGCAACAGTGCTGTGGTTTGTCTATTTGTATCTTGTTTCTCCAACTAGTTTGAAAGCTGTGAGAACTTTTAGGTAGTTGGTGCTTTACAAATACTTAAGTTTTATGTGAAAACTTGTACCTATAGTTAAAATTATTTGTATTTTTAAAAATTGATAATATTTGCTTAAAAACTAGCCTTGCTGCATGGCACGGCCACTGACAACTCCAGTCCTTGTGTGAGGTTCCCTGGAAATGGCTAGGAAAGGAAAGCGGTAGCACACTATGAAGCAAGACACCAGAAGCATATCTTTCCAGTGTGATGCACTATGTAGCCTACGGTTCATACTTAGTTTGCATTTTTTTGAAAAGACAGGTAAAAATGGTAATTTGGCAAGCAGAATCATTAGGTTTGGCATTGCAGTGTCATATTTTAATGTGCAGAAAAATATTTTAAATTCTGGGCCCATAACAGAATGTAGACCTGCTCTCACTATTTCCAGAATCTGAGGCTTTGGACTTGATATGCTAGTAATTTGAACCATAGTATATAGAAAGTAATGGTGACCATGCAAATATTTGCACATTATGCTCTATTATTTTTGCACATGCTTCAAGGGACTGACATCAGAAAACTGTATAAAATACAGTAAATGTAGAGATCCCATGGAAGGTGGTAAAAAGCCTGAAAATGATATCTGAGAGTGTCTGTAACATACTCATTATTTATTCACAATTAATAATTTTATCTAATGACTTGCTCCATTCTTCCATATTTAAAGTGAGTGTTTCTCGATCAGTAGCTTCAAGTTTTAGGTGCAACAGCTGCAGAACTCTAAAAGATACATCAAATTAGGTCATATTGTTCAAACACTGTGAGATGTTATACTTTTAATTCTTTATGAACTTAAGTATTGAATTTAGGATGGCCCTGTGGTATTCGGCATCTGGACCTAGCTAGATTGGCAAGATTTTCCTCTGTAAAAAAATCCAGGTAGAAGAAGCATTCCAAATTTTAAAAACAAATAATTCTCTCTTCACCTTCCCATCATCCTTCTCTTGTCTCCCACTCAACACATGTACATGTTTTGAACCAAATTAGTATTTTATTTTCTGTGATGTTAAAGTTGAAATGTAAATCCTAATAAGTCCACATTCCTTGAATTGGAAGGTGTTTAAACTTGAGGCCTAGCATTTTGCCCATTTCATCCCATGTCTTAAAATACGGTTTTTGTCAGAGCTAGACAGTCAACAGCTATAGTAGTCGGGATCCAAACCACAATTAATAGTGCTGAATGTCATGTTACAAATCTGCCTCTTGATTCCTTAAAATAAAGAGCTGGGAGTAGCTGTGGCAACTGGACCTCAAACACTGCTACCAAAAAGATTTTGTGTTTTGATTTCTTCTGGTTTTTATTTGTGCTTATAAGGAGATACCTGATGGATCGATTGCAAAGTGGACTATGACATGCATCTGAGTGTAAAGTTATATGGAAACTGTCTAACGCTTCACTTTGTTTAAATGACTTCAGTTATTTCTTCTGTGGCTAAGATTACAATTCAGACACTTCAGTCTGAATACTGGTTGTAAAAGAGTAGAGCATGTTCCAGAGAGTCAGGCAGTGAGCTAATGTGATGGAGTTCAGGCAATTTTAATTTTAGGGACGCTGTCCCTTGGTTTTGGAATTTTTCAACAATCGTACCATTTATGATTTTATTTTATTTTAGCCATGTCCTTTGGGGGCCCGAGATTTTCGAGAGAAACAGTGTGCAGACTTTGACAATATGCCTTTCCGTGGAAATTATTATAACTGGAAACCCTTTACTGGAGGTAATGTATAACCTGGCAGAGCATTCATCATGCTTGAGAGCTTTGCAAACATGAAAGAGTATATAAATAATACAAAGACACACACATTTCTACACATACTAGTAAAAATTAGTGTTTGTAAATCAAAGCAGGAAAATACTTATAATACTATAAGGTCTCATGTTTTAGTTTCCCTGTAATGAACTTTATGTTAGTACAAATGATCAGAAATCATTTTTTTGAGTTCTTGACTTCTTGAGGTATGTGGACATTACATTATAATCATTTATAATCACGAAGTATTTAGAGCTATCACCCTAAAAACAAATTATAACAATATAAATCAACTCAAAGAGGCCAGGAAAATGTGTTCTTTCTTGAGAAAAGGCTAAGGATCTTACCATAGATTTTTAAAATTCTTTTTTAGTGTTGGGAAACATTTTTGCTCTTTAATTTGGGCATGTATCAAACACCAGTTGTTCAGTAAGCACAAAAAAGTTTGCTTACACTCCCAAAATACAAACTAAGTTTTGTTAAAATTTTCTCTTGGAAAGATTGAATGCACATTCAAAATTTTTGCTTGTTTTAACATTTTTGAAAAAATTTCAACATAGAACAATATTGAAATAATTTTACAGTGATGTTTTTATCCACCACCAAGATTCTACCATTAACATTTCAGTATATATTTTTCATTACATGTCTAGTCATCTCTGTCCATTCATCAATCTATGCTTTTTTTAAAATGCATTTCAAAGTAAATTGTAGTCATTAATATACTTTCCTGTAAGTAATTAAGCATGCATACATCAACCCCAGTTCAGTACTGTTTACTTTTTTCTTTTGAGGTTAGATTATGTACAATGAAATGCACAAATCTTAACTGTCCTTTCCCTGAGTTTTAACAAATGCATGTACCTGTAAAACTCTACTGACATATAGAACATTACCATTACCTCCATAGTCCTTCCCAGTCCATAGCTGCCTCTACCTGTTTGTTCTAAGAGGCAACTACTGTTATGATTTTTTTTTTTTACTATAGATTAGTTTTGCCTATTCCAGAACGTCATATAAATGAAATTATGTCATATTTTCTCTTTTGTGCAAGGCTTCTTTAAGCCCAATGTTTTTGAAATCCATCTGCATTATTGCATGTACAAGCAGTTCATTCCTTTTTATTGCTAAGCAGTATTATAATCAGTTCGCTTTTCCATTCTGTGACTGATGGACACCTGGGGTGTTTCTAGTTACAGTTGTTATGAATCAGCTGCTGTGATTATTTGCATACTCATCTTTTTGTGGGCATATGTTTTCATTTCTCTTGGGTAAATACTTAGGAGTAGAATTGTTGAATAATAGGGTAGGTATGAGTTTAATTTTAAAAAAACTGCCAGATATTTTTCCAAAGTTATTGTACCATATCACAACTCCCACCAACAATGTGTCAGTTCTGTTTGTTCATATCCTTGCCAACATTTGGTGTTTTCAGTCTTCTCCTGGTGGGTGTATAATGATATTTTACTGTGGCTTTAATTTGCATTTCTTTTTTTTAAATCTATTTTTATTGATTTCAGAGAGGAAGGGGGAGAGAGAGAAATAGAAACATCAATGATAAGAGAGAACTATTGATCGGCTGCCTCCTGCACACCCCCTACTAGAGATTGAGCCCGCAACCTGGGCATGTGCCCTTGGCCGGAATCAAACCTGGGACCCTTCAGTCCGCAGGCCGATGCTCTATCCACTGAACCAAACCCGCTAGGGCTTTAATTTGCATTTCTGATTATTGATTATGTTGAGCACATTTTCATGTGCTTATTGACCATTTATGTATCTTCTTTTGTTAAGTGTTCACATTTCTTGCCTATTTTCAAATTGGTATTTTATCTTTTCACTAGAGGCTTGATGCACAAAATTCGTGCAAGGGGCTCGGCCCTCACAGCCCCGTCTTCATCCGGAAGGTCATTCGGCTATCCAGTCTAATTAGCATATTACACTTTTGTTATTATAGATTCTCTAGTGGTAGTCATTTATCAGATAAGTTTTACGAATATTTTCTCACAGTCTGTGGCTCTCCTGTTACTTTTTAAATGGTATTTTAGATGAGTATAGGATTTTAATTTTGATGAATTCTAATTTTTCAATTTTTTTCTTTTATGGTTATTGTGTTCTGTGTCCTGTTTGAGAAATCTTTGTCTACTTCAACTCTAGATGGTATTTTTTAATCTTTTCTTCTAAGAGCCAGGTTTTTTATCTTTAAATTTAGATGTACAATCTAAAACAATTTAGGGATATGGTGTGTATTTGTAGTATATTTATGTACTCTGTTTTGTTTCATCAATCTATTTGTCAACTCCATATTAGTACCACACTGACTTAATTATTGTAATTGTATAGTCTTGGACACAGGTAGCATAAGTTCCTCCAACTTTGATCTTTTTTAAGAGTTATTTGGATATTCTAAATGCTTTGCATTTCCATATAAATTACAAAATTTGTTGTTAATTTCTACAGAAAAACATGCTGGGCTTATGCTTGTTATCATGTTGAATCTGTAGATCAATACAGGGAGAACTGACAAATTCAAATATTGAATTTTCCAATTTATGAACATAGTATATATCTCTATGTATTTGTGTCTTTTTTAATGTCTCTAGCTATGTTTTGTAGTTTTAGGTATAAGGTCTTGCACATCTTTTGTTAAACCTATTTCTGAGTAATTTATGTGTTTTGACACTATTGTAAATGAAAGTTTTAAAAATTTCATTTTTAATTATTAACTCTAGTGTATAAAAATAAAATTAATTTTTATATATTAATTTTGTGTTCTGTTATTTAGGATTTTCTTGCTAAATAGTCATGTTATTTGGAATAGAGACGGTCTATTTCAATCTTTTTGCCTTTTATTTCATTTTCTTGTCTTAATGCACTGGCTTGGCCCTTCAATACAATTTGTGCATGTGGAGATTATATGTGATTTTCTTCTTTATTCTGTTAATATGATAAATTACTTGACAGATTTTATAATGTCAAACCAACCTTTTATTCCCAGGATAAACCCTATGTGGTAATGATTTACTATTTTTATATGTTATTAAATTTAATAGCTAATATTTTATTAAGTATATTTGTGTCTATGTTCATAAGGGAAACTGATTTCTAAATTTTATTTTTGTTATGTCTTTGACAAGTTTTGGTATCAGAGTTACTCTGGCTTCCTGAAATAGAATTCTTACTTATTTTGAAAGAGTTTGTAACATTGGTATTATTTTTTTCCTTGGAAAAATAGTAAAAGCATGTATGTTTGGTATTTTCTTTGTACAAAAAATTATTACAAATTCAGCTCCTTTAACAGATAAAAGAATTATTCAGAATTTTTAATTCTTATGTGAGTTTTCAAATTTGTGTCTTTGATAAGTTTATTGATAAGTTACACCCATGTTGTCCAATTCATTGATAGAAAATTGATCATAACATTCTGTTATTATTCTGTTTAATATCTGTAGGATCTGGAGTGATGTATGCTCTTTGATTTCTGATATTTATAATATGTATTTCTCTCTTTTACTTGATCAGTCTTACTTGAGGTTTATCAATTTTAATTATCTTTTCAGAGAATCGACTTGGCTGTAGCACTTTTCTCTATTACTGTCTTTTTTCTTTTAATTATGGGTTTATTTTGCTCTATTGCATTCCCCAAAGTTGATGTGTTTTTATTTCCTTCATTTCAAAATATTATCCTATTTACATTGTGATTTCTTGTTTACCCATGGGTTATTTAGGTTATTTATAACTGTCATTTTTATTTCTTCTTGTATCCTGCTACTTTATTGAATTCATTGATCAGTTCTAGAGTTTTTTGGTGGAATTTCAAAATATTTTATATATTCTAGATTTTTTGTTATTAATTTGTAGTTTAATTCTAATGTGCTTAGAGAATACTCTGTATGATTTAAATTCTTAAAATTAATTGAAATTTGTTTTATGATATAGCTTATTCTCCATGTTGGTGAATATTCTCTTTATACTTGAAAAGGATGTGTTTTCTGCAGTTGTTGGATATAGTAGTGTTCTATGGATATCCATGAGGTCAATTTGGCTAGTGTTATGCAAATATTTTTAATTTTTTCTGGTGTTTTTTTTTCTGCTCTTGCTCTTCTATCAATTACTGAGAGAAGTGTGTTAAAATCTTGAACTATTATATGACTTTACTTTCTTTTTTATTACTTTTTGTTTCCTGTATTTTGAATCACTTTTATTAAGTTCATATACATTTGGTATTGTTTTATCTTATTGTAGGAGGATTTAATAATTAGCATCTAGGTAATTGAGTGGAATGAATTAACACTAAATTCATAATAAGCTTTAAATGAAGGTAATTGGTAATGTGACCTTCCATTTAGAGAATCATCCTAAATTCCTTCTTGAAATAATAGCAGTACCTCTTCTGAAAACTCATTGTAACAGAGAGAGCTAAATACATCTTGAGCAGTGAAAAAGGAGGAAATTTATTTCTATGAATACAACCATAGTAATTACATGTCTTGCCTATCAAATACTATGTTACATAATTAATATAGTATTAAAATTGAGTAAATAAAAGGCTAGTGTTCTTTTTAAAAAGCCCATTACATAAAAAGCTCCATTAACTTTCAAAACATTACAATAATAAATGGGGAAAGAACAATAGTGGGTAGTAATGAAAACAATCCCAGTAATATTCATGGAAATTTAGAGCAATTTTATTCATGAGAATCTTACAAAAGTAGATTATAAATACCTTGATTATCAGTTCAGAAAGAAATTATTTTATTGATTACTTATTATTTCTGTGCTCAGGACAGCAAAATATATCATTACCCTAAGCTTAATAATAACCTTATAAGTCCTATAGGAGTTTTATAGCCTACAGATAAAGAAAATGGGAGAAAACATGAACTTGGGCCAGTGGTTGTAAACTGGTGGTTCAAGAACAGTTTTTACTTACATATGTGTTTTAACCTTCACAGTATTTTTGAAAATGTTGAATGAGTTGCCAAGAACAAGTTATATTTTAAAAATCTAGGTTTTCATCTTCTCTTGAAAAAATAGGGTGTGTGAATATATTGAGCCTTCTTGCACAACAACTATCCTATATAATAAAACCCTAATATGCAAATCGACCAAGTGGCAGAATGACCAGTCACTATGGCATGCACTGATCACCAGGGGGCAGACGCTTAATGCAGGAGCGTCCACAGGGGGAGTGCCGCTGAGCCAGAAGCTGGGCTCACGGCTGGTGAGTGCAGTGGTGGTGGCGGTAGCCTCTCCCGCCTCTGCTGCAGGTGGGCGGTAAGGAGTGAGGGGTCCCCAGACTGCCAGAGGGTGCACCCTCCCCCCTAATGCACGAAATTTTGTGCACCGGGCCTCTAGTCAACTATAACAGTGATCTCCTTTTAATGGAATGTTCTGTCTCTCACTTATCATTGTCTTCACCACCCAGTTGGCTTCTCTCTTTTACTCCACATACCTTCACTCTGCAGCAACCTGTGTCTACCTTAGGCGTGTCATTTCAATCTTTCTGCCTTATTTTCTTTATAAGAAGTAGTCAGCTTTATTTCAAAGAGAAATGTTATCAGAATAATTAGAATAAGACCAAAGTGTTTTAAACTTCATAAAAGGAAGATTGAACAGGAAGTATTCTTCTTACGTCATATTTTTAATCAATAGTTGCATATTTATAAGTCACTTTCTCATGTGCTGTTTTGAATGAAATATATCCATATTTATTGCTACTTTTAAATATATTATGAGATTATGACATGTACTTTGCTTGTTTTAAATGGCTACTATTCATACCTATCTTTTATATCAACCTTAAAAAATACAAATTTCAGTGACAAAATGAAAATGCTCAAGTTATTATATATGTTCACAAAATAATATTAGATATTTTAACTATTCAATTTTAAAACTATAATTAATTTTATCTTTGATTTGCTAATCTGATAACAATTTATCTCCACACTAAAGCCATATTCACGGAATATGATATGTTTAAAAACAGGTACAAATAGTTTTATTTTACAACTACCATGTCCCTGCTAAAGTAGGAGAGTTTTTGTATCAGCTTCCATAACAAGTTACATATGTTGTAGAAATTCTGATTTGTCATATAAGGTAATAGTTTCAAGCCTCCTTAAACTTTATTTCCTTGGTTCATTTTTTAAAAACAGTTTTTATTTCATTTATTTGCATCAACATTCAGGTACCTCCACTGTGATCCCTTTTGACCCAAAAGATATTGTAAACATATATTGGAAACACTTAAAATTTTTAAACTTGAAAACTACTTAGCAGGACCTTCATTAAGTTGAACAAGGAATGAAAATAAACACGAAATTTTAGCAAAAGAGGAAAGAAACCTACACATCCAGGGATATAGTCAGGGAATGATGTCTATATGAATTGTACATTTGCTATGGGGAATATTGAATCACTGTCTCATAGGAGAACCAATCCATTTATTTCTTTTTTACTGCATTTGTCCAGGTGGAATGAAACCTTGTGCATTAAACTGCTTGGCTGATGGCTACAACTTCTACACTGAACGTGCCCCCGCAGTGATTGATGGGACTCGGTGCAATATGGATTCGCTGGATATCTGTATCAACGGAGAATGCAAGGTTGCTTAAATGATCACTAGAGGCCCGGTGCACGAAATTCATGCGGGGTGGGGGGGTCCCTCAGCCCAGCCTGCACCCTCTCCAATCCGGGACCCCTTGGGGGATGTCCGACTGCCTCTCACAATCAGGGACCGCTGGCTCCTAACCGCTCACCTGCCTGCCTGCCTGATCACCCCTGGCCCCTCTGCCTGCCTGCCTGATTGCCCCTAACCACCTCTGCCTGCCTGATCGCCCCTAACTACTCCCCTACCAGCCTGATCGCCCCTAACTGCTCCCCTGCTGGCCTGATTGCCCCTAACCACCTCTGCCTCACCCCGCACCTGGGACCCAGGATTCCCTCCTCCAGCTGGTCACAGGCACCTGGGACTGGGCTTCCCTCCCTCTGGCTGGCTGCAGGCACCTAGGACCTGGGCCAGCTTTGCCTGGGCCAGCTGCAGCCACAGGGGACCATGAGCAGGTGACTTTGCCCGGGCCAGAGTCGCAGGTGCCCAGGACCATGGGGCTGGTGGCTTGTCCCTCTCCTGGGTCACAGGCACTGGCACCTGGGACCACAGGGCGGGTGGCTTGTCCCTCTCCTGGTCCGCAGGCACAGGCACTGACACCCAGGACTGCGGGCCGGGTGGCTTGTCCCTCTCTCGGGCCACAGGCGCAGGCACAGCTGCTGGCTCCTGGAACCGCGGGGACCATGGTGCATGCGGATTGTCCCTCTCCCGGGCCACAGGCACAGCCACTGGTGCCTGGCACGGGGACCACCATGCCTGGGACTGCGGGGCATGCAGCTTGTCCCTTTCCTGGGCCCCAGGCACAGCCACTGGTGCCTGGGACCACGGGGACCATACCTGGGACTGCGGAGCATGCAGCTTGTCCCTTTCCTGGGCCCCAGGCACAGCCACTGGTGCCTGGGACCACGGGGACCATACCTGGGACTGCGGGGCATGCAGCTTGTCCCTTTCCTGGGCCCCAGGCACAGCCACTGGTGCCTGGGACCACGGGGACCATACCTGGGACTGCGGAGCATGCAGCTTGTCCCTTTCCTGGGCCACAGGCACAGCCACTGGTGCCTGGGAAGATGGGGACCGTGGGGACCGTGGGGCATGTGAATTGTTTCTCTCCCGGGCAGTAGGTGCAGCAGCTGGCGCCCAGGACTGCAGGGACCATGGGGCATGCAGCTTGTCCCTCTCCCAGGCCGCAGCCCCAGCTGCTGGCGTCCAGGATCATGGGGCGGATGGCTTGTCCCTCTCCCGGGCCACAGCCCCAGCTGTTGGCACCCGGGACTGCAGGGTGTGTGGCTTGTCCTTCTCCCAGGCCACAGCCTGGCTGGTCCCCATTCCTCTCTCGCGAGCTCTTTTGTGCCTGGCTGGTCCCCATTCCTCTATCCCGAGTGTTGAGTGTCTGAGCTGTTATGGCATGACGGCGTGAGGATGTGATGCCATTTGCATATTAGCTCTTTATTATATAGGGTTTTTTTCTTGTTTTTGTTTTATTTTAAAGAGAAGTGCAAAGCTAAGTCCCAGAAAGAAAGAAGATATAAAAACACTGTCTATTTTACTTAGTCTCATAATTTCTTACAAAAGTTTCTGTCCTTCTGGCTACTGACCTCCAAATGTATCTGATAGCCCAGTGTGTGTGTGTGTGTGTGTGTGTGTGTGTGTGTGTGTGTATTTACTTGAAGAAAAGGTTATTTCTGTGACAATATTAAAATTCTTTTTAGATAATAAAAACCCAGATACAGCTTACTAGTATATTCAGAGATTACATGCCTGGTATCAATGGCTAAATGTCAAATATACAAATTTAAGTTCCAAAATTTGTACCAAAAATGTTTAAGAATCCACATCTCTATGGTTCAATGAAAGACTGAAAGGTAGAGTTTATGGCAATTTTATTCAGCTAGTGGGTACAGGTATTCATTTTTAAAGATTTACCCAGTCATGAATTCCACAACTAATCCTTGACTCAAACAATTGGATAATCCAAAAGGGCTAGTGATTGAGAAAGGACAAAATGTCATGCCCAGTCAAGACTCTTGCTGTTATAACCTTGTATAGGACTAAATGCCATTTTTCTCAGTGCTTGCATGTATTGTAAGAGTATAAGTAAGAGTCCATTGCTAACAAATTATATTTTAAGAATTGAAGCATGGTATCTATAAATAATTAAATCTAGGTTAGAAATATAGACATCCATTCCTGGGAAATCAGAATTTTTTTTCTTTAAACTTATGTGTTGAGAAATGTTACCTAGAACTTATTGGAGAGTGAAGGTAAAAGTGGAGAGAGGAAAATATTTCTTGTTTTTTATTTCCTTTACTGGAAAAACAAGTAAATAAATACGCTATATTTATTTGCTTAGTAAGAATTCCCTTTTTTCACACACTGAATATTCTTCTCTGTTTGCAGCATGTAGGTTGTGATAATATTTTGGAATCCAGTGTTAGGGAAGATAAATGTCGAGTCTGTGGAGGGGATGGAAGCACATGCGATGCTGTTGAAGGGTTCTTCAATGAGACGTCACCCAGAGGAGGAGGTGAGTGTGTAGAGAGAACTCTTCCTCACGCCTCTGTGTGCTTGGAATAGGCAACACATTTGATCACCACCACCACCCCTTATTTTAAAATTTCTTTATTTAGGCAGACATTGCTTTCCCCCCAAATTACTTTCAGCCTTTTAAAGTATTAAATATGGCTTCATGCAAGATATTTATTTATTTTTTTTTTATTGTCTAAAGTTTTACATATGTCTTCTTTAACCCCAGTTGACTCCCTCCCCCCAACCCCCAGCCATTCCCACTCTGGGCAAGCCCCCACTGCCCCAGTTTCTATGTGCATTGGTTATGCTAATATGCATGCATACAAGTCCTTTGGTTGCTCTCTCACCACCACCCCCTCCTCACCTTCCCTGCCATTTGTCTCTGGATCTATTCTTGTTCATCAAGTTATGTTGATCATTATATCCCACGTATGAGTGAGATCTTGTGATATTTATCTTTCTCTGACTGGCTTATTCTTAGCATAATAATGCTCTCCAGTTCGATCCTTGCTGTTGCAAATGGTAAAAGTTCCTTCTTTTTTATAGCAGCATAATCTTCCATGTGTAGATGTACCACAGTTTTTTAATCCACTCTTCTGCTGATGGGCACTTAGGCTGTTTCCAAATAGCTATTGTAAATTGTGCTGCTATTAACATAGAGGTGCATATATCCTTTCTGATTGGTGTTGCTGGTTTCTTGGGATATAGTCCTAGAAGTGGGATTACTGGGTCAAATGGGAGTTCCATTTTTAACTTTTTAGGAAACTCCATACTGTCTTCCACAGTGGCTGAACCAGTCTGCATGCCCTCCAACATTACAGGAAAGTTCCTATGTAAGATATTTTAAGTAAATATTATTTCCTTTCTACTTGACTTCATTTTGCCATGTTTCTTTAAGATATGAATTTCCACAGTAGATTGATGTGTGGGCTACGGTTGAGAAAATAAAATGAACCAATATTGTACATGTTGAAGGTATTTTAGAGGAAAAGAAAAATACTCTAGAGGTGTTCATTAACCCAAAGGGGAATTTGCCCATATTTCATAATTTGTATAGTGAAAAGCCGAAGAAAGCATGGTAGAATAAGGAAATTCATTACTGAATGGTTATTAAACACTCATTTTCTGACTGAGGCTACAGAATCTACTTACACTGGCTGTCTTCTGTGGTCCAGGCTACCTGACAGTTGTGCAGATACCAAGAGGTTCTGTTAATATTGAAGTCAGAGAAGTTGCCGTGTCACCTGCCTATATTGGTGAGTAGCATATTTTGGTAGATTTCAAAAATTAAGGAGAAGGGAGAGCACAATATCATGAAGGAAAAGACATACTGCTTTGCCAAATAGAGACAGACTGAGAGAGCAGGCAGACAGCTATGGAGTTTGGGCCGGGGGTGTGTGCGGAGGGATTGAGAAGAAAAAATAGAGAACTCATGGACATGGACAACAGTGTGGTGATTGAGGGTGGGGGTAGGGGGTGAATGGAGGTGAAAGAGGGCATAAAGGGATAAATGGTGATGGAAAAAGAAAAAATGGAATACTGCTTTGAGACGGAATACTTTCATGCTAAAATGAAATTCCAAGTCTTATAGGATCACATGTAAGAACTAAACACAAAAATTAGTAGTTTATAGCTTACTCTTCACTGAGTTGCTTATTTGATTTTTAAAATCAATGTTATTGGGGAATAATTTATATATAATAAAGTATATCCATTATAAGTATACAGTTCAAAGAGTACTGACAATTATTTATATGTATATATAACACAGCCACAATATAGGTCATTTCTGACTCTAAAACATTCTCTTATTTGCTTTTGCAGTTAAATGCCCCTAGCCTTAGCCTCAGGCAAACATTGATCTTTTATCTGACATGTATTTCATTATATTTCTGAAATTTAACATAATGGGATAATACAGTATATACTTATGTATGGCTTTTTTTACTCAGCATAATGTTTTTGAGATTCATCTATATTGTTGAGTGTATCTGAAGTTCACTCTTTTTTATTACTAAACTAGAGGCCCGGTGCACAAAAATTTGTGCACTCGGGGGAGGGAGGGGGGGTCCCCCAGCCCGGCCTGTGCCCTCTCCCAGTCTGGGACCCCTCGGGAGATAACGACCTGCTGGCTTAGGCCTGCTCCCTGGTGGCAGAGGGCACACCCAATCCCTAGGTGCTGCCCCTGGTCGGGCTCAGAGCAAGGCCGATTGGGGAGTTGGGGCGCTGCCCCCTGTCATGCACAGAGCAGGGCGGATCGGGAGGTTGCGATGCCACCCTCAGTCACGCTCAGGGTAGGGCCGATTGGGGGGTTGGGGCACC